GGCAGATATTGTCTGATAGTGCTAAAGGTATAACATAGGATATAAGCTATTCCAAGTAAAACAGCCTACTGCAACTGACTAATGGTGATTTTGTTAATGCCAATGGTGTTCAACTAGTGTTCCAGTTATTTTGGGATTGGACTATTTGTACTATTAGTACAATTTTTGCTTCCTTTTGCCACAGTTCTACTTTTAGTCTGTATTTTGTGATTTTTCTCCAGTTCATTTTCTTCTGTCTTTACTGCCCTGTCCACTATCCAGACTTTTTTGTTTCTCTTATCAACAATAATTAAGTTTGGGATGTTATATGGCAGGTGCTTGTCTGCTTGAGTTGTGGCCTCACAAATACTTGCTTGCAGATGGTTTCTCTTCCAGGTATTTTATTTATGTTATGGTTCATCATATTATTAGTTAAAAGCAAACCTTCTGCTCATTTTTATACACTCATTAATATGGAAATCCCATTCAACTTAAAACTTGTTCTTGCTCCTATCTTACCCAGTTTTAATAATAATAATAATAATAGTAGTAGTAGTAGTAGTTGTAGTAGTAGTAGTAGTAGTAATGTTGGAAGGGACCTTGGAGGTCATCAAGTCCAACCCCCTGCTCAGGCAGGAAACCCTACACCATTTCAGACAGATGGCTGTCCAGTCTCTTCTTAAAAACTTCCAGTGTTGGAGCATTCACCACTTCTGGAGGCAGGTTGTTCCATTGGTTAATTGTTCTAACTGTCCTGAAGTTTCTCTTTATTTCTAGGTTGCTTCTCTCCTTGATTAGTTTCCATCCGTTGCTTCTTGTCCTGCCCTCAGGCGCTTTGGAGAATAACTTGACTCCCTCTTCTTTGTGACAGCCCCTGAGATATTGGAACATATTGGGAGATATCATGTCCCCCCTCATCCTCTTCTTTAAACTAGACATAGCCAATTCCAGCAACCGTTCCTCATGTTTTAGCCTCAAGTCCCCTAATCATCTTTGTTGCTCTTCTCTGTACTCTTTCTAGAATCTCAGCATCTTTTTTACATCGTGGTGACTAAAGCTGGATGCAGTATTCCAAGTGTGGCCTTACCAAGGCATTGTAAAATGGTATTAATACTTCACGTGATCTTGATTCTATCCCTCTGTTAATGCAGCCCAGCACTGAGTTGACTTTTTGGGCAGCTGCAGCACACTGCTGGCTCATATTTAAGTGATTGTCCACTAGGACTCTGAGATCTCTCTCACAGCTACTACTATTGAGCAAGGTACCCCCTATACTATACCTGTACATTTGGTTTTTCTTGCCTAAATGTAGAACCTTTTTTCACCATTGAATTTCATTTTGTTAGATAGCACCCAGTGTTCAAGTCTGTCCAGGCCCTTCTGTATCTTAAGCCTGTCTTCTGGAGTGTTGGCTATTCCTGCCAGCTTGGTGTCATCTGCAAATTTGATGAGTTCTCCATCTATCCCCTCGTCCAAATCGTTGATGAAGATGTTGAAGAGCACTAGGGCTAGAACAGATCCCTGGGACACCCCACTACATACTTCCCTCCATGTAGATGCAGTTCCATTGAGGATCACACACTGAGTACGGCCAGTCAGCCAGCTACGAATCCATCTGGTGGTGATGCTGTCTAACCCACTTTTTTCTAACTAATCGAGTAGTAGGTTGTGATCTACTTTATCAAATGCCTTACTGAAGTCCAAGTAAATTATATCCACAGCATTCCTCTAAGCATTACTTCTTCATCCAAAACATCAATGAAAATGTTGAAGAGTATTTGGAATTCTGTACCATTCCCACTTAATATTCCATTCCAGTTCAATGAGAACTAAGCACTCTTTGATTATAGTTTCCAAATAAGCTATGAATCTACCAAACAGACATACCTATCAGATAACATAAAATAGTTTGTTAAATGTTTTACTGAAATATAAATATATTATGCCCGTTGCATTTCCAAATCTATTAAGAAATTTATATAAACAAAAAATATGGTAATATTAGTCTTGCAAATCTATCCTTGTCAAACCCATACTGATTTCAAGGAATTATTACTAGTACACAGTTTTGTGCTGTTTTATAAAACCTTCCCAGATACGGCTATCAAATAGTATGAGCTCCCAATGTTCATCTATGGGTGAATATATCTAAGTTTTGATTTTACCCGTAACAGCAGAATCCTATGCAAGTATACCTAAAAGATCAACAAAGTTTAACAAAAGCTAGAATATATGTTGTATGTGTTTCTAGTGCTCTTTCCAAATAGTAGCTTACATTTTAATTAATTTAAAACATGGGGGAAAAGTGCCTGGAAGAATTTGATTTTTTAAAAAATTAATATTTGAAACACTCACTGTTTTCTTTTTAGGAACCTCTTCAGATTCTGTTTCATGATGAAGAGTGTTTCCATCTCCTGTTTGACCTTCATCATACTTATTTGCAGTTTTATCATCTTTTTCAACAAGAGAATCCCTACGTGGACGTTTACGTCTACTATCAGCTTCTTCAACCAACTTTCTCTTTTGCTTTCCACTCTCTTCTACTTCAGCCATATTAGCTGAAGAATTTGTTACAGCTGCAAACAAAAAATATTTTCTATTATTAAACAAGATTTTGTTGACAAACCATTTGATAAACTGATGTCTATTGGGACAAGAGAATTCCAAACAACTGGAAAATAACAAATCTTGAACTTAGCTTTAGGATTGCATATTAATAGTGCTGTTAAAGAATTGTTAAATTTGAATTTGCATTTTGAATTAAATTTTAAAACAAGTTCATATTCAAACTGCTTTGAGTCACCAGATTTATACTTTTCAAATAGTCACCCTTGTATCTCTTACTATTTTAAATATAAACAAACCAAAACAATTGATACTAAAGTGTACTTAAAGCAACACATAGTGATATAATCATAAAGCTGCATCAATTCATTTATGTCCATACTCAACTACTACTGCAATGAGTTTTGCTTATTCTGGTAAGTAAAGGCAATGTCAGACTCTGCTTTGTCAAACAAATCATGCACATTAAACTTATTCCTGTATCTTTCCATGATATCCTATTAAAGTACAATTCATTCCAACCAAGTTTTCTTCTCACATGCATCCTCTCTAAGCACCTTAGCCCACACTTGGTTATTGGGATACAAGATTTATATTCTTAGTCCTATTTTTACTAGCTTTTAATATCCTAAGCTGTCTTTCATTTCATTTTCTTCATATCAGTAGGCAGGCAGATGGAAGGGGAAAAAGTGCCTTAGCCTGACCACTTTTCCTTCATGGTAATTAATTCTTGGAGAGTGGAAAAGAATTAAAGCTTATAATGCAATGGCACAAGTCAGGAAAAGAATAAACCCAGTAATAGGCCTCATCACAATCGCCCTATCAAAAGGATTTAAGCTACATTGAATCTTTAATGAATTACTTTACTTTTGGGGAACTAGTTTTCACAAATACAATAAGAACTAGGAAAGAAGTACATCTTAAATATGATCAGAGGACTGAATAACTGGAACGGCAAGCTCAGCCTAAAGCCTGGTCTTCCGCTTGTTTTGCACTCATCAAAGATATTCTCTGCGTATGCTTTATTCAGCCATCACACCAAGGGCATGCTCAATCATCTCAGGTTTTTTTTTTATTGCCTTCAAATCAGATTTATCTTCTGAAATCTGCTTGCTTAAGTGGTTGCAGTTTTCTTGACAAGGTTTTGGAAGTGGTTTGCCATTGTCTCATTCCTAGGCTGAGACAGTGACTGGCCTAAGGTCACCCAGCTGGCTTTGTGCCTTAAGGTGGAGTAGAGCTCACAATTTCCCACATTCTGGCTTGATGCCTTAACCATGTACAACAAACTGGCACTGCTCTCTCCAGTAGCCACACAGAATAAAAACTACATAGGAAAAACTCCCATGACTTACTTTATCTAGAAGGATCTTGAGAGATTGTCCCTGGCTATTTGGGCTATGAAAGAGATCTTGACAGCCAGTTTGGTGTAATGGTTAAGGTGCCAAGATCCTAATGAGGGTTAAGGTATGGAGACTAGGAGTCCTTGGCTTCCCTTATGCATGAAACCCGGCTGGGTGGTTTTTCTTGTCAGCCCAGGCAATTTCACAGGTTGTTGTTTTGAGGAAAATAAGAGGCATGGATATTAGATATCTTTGTGGCCTTATGTATTAAAAAAGGGGAAGAAGCACGTAATACAGGTAGTCCTCGATTTACAATTGGGCCCAAAATTAAGTGAGGCATTTGTTTAGTTTTGCCCCATTTTACGACCTTTCTTGCCACAGTTGTTAAGTGAATCACTGCAGTTGATAAGTTAGCAATCCAGTTGTTAAATGAATCTGGCTCCCCCATAGACTTTGTTTGTCAGAAGGTCGCAAAAGGTGATCACATGACCTTGGGATAGAGCAATGGTCATAAATATGAACCAGTTGCCAAGCATCTGGATTTTGAACTGATAATCATGGGGATGCTGCAAAGGTCGTAACGGTGAAAAAACGATCATAAGTCGCGTTTTTCAGTGCCATTGTAACTTTGAACCGTACTAAACGAACTGTTGTAAGTTGAGGACTACCTATAATCCCCAACCGTGGGAGATCCTGGCGTCAGTGGATTCACTGCCAGCGATTCTTATCGCGCCTCGGTTCCTTGATTGACCCCAGAAGCGTCATCTCCGAGACCTCCAGGAGACGCGACAGGAGGGGAAAAAACTAAATAGCCCGTCCCCGCTTTCCCTGGCACGAAACTTTAAAAACCTTCCGAGAAGAAGCAGGCCCCGCTCGCGAGCTGGAGGAAAGATGTTACAATTGGGGCCAGGCCACAATGGCGCCTTCCGCGCGCGCTGCAGCCCAACGCAGCTCACCCTCTTCCTCCTCCTTCACCGAAATGGCGCCGCTCGCGTCCCGCTCTCAGGAAATGGGGGTGCCGCCGTTCCCCGCTTTCCATCCGGGGTCGCCCTCGCCACTTCCTCTTCGGAAAGGTCAGGAGAAGTGGGCGGGGCGGCAGGGCGGGAAGCGGAAAAGATCCTAGAAGGCTCCTGCGGGGAATGTGCGCGGAGGGTCGGGACGTCCGAGGGCACGTGGGTCGCCCTGAGTTAGTGGCAGCAGCCGGGAGAAAAGTTGGGCCCGTCGAGCCTGGCGGCCGTCCTGCACTTGCAGCGAAGGCGATTTCTTCAAAAGGTAGCAAACGGTCCGGACAGAGCAGACGACGAGCCCGGGGTTGCCACTCGGGGAGGGGTGCCTTTCGCGGCCTGAGTTGCTTATCGGAAAGCCCCTGTTGGGAAAGCTGTGGGGAGGGGGTCGCCTTAACTCCGCCAATGCTGCTGGCCGGCATTGATGCAGCATTACGTCAGCCTTTCCCGTCTGAAGCGCATCAAGGATGCTGAGACTACAGTCCCCATAATACCCAGCTAGAATGTGCACGTTTTGGGACTTGCAGTCCGCCCGCACCTGCAGAGCTTCAGCTCCGAAAAGGCCGCATTAAAAACGCCCCTTAGCGGTAACTGCAGGATGTATTTCAGTGCCTGAAGTTGGAGACAGTTTTTTTTTCTTAATGACAGAGCTCCCTTACAAGTAGTCCTCGACTTACAACAGTTCATTTAGTGGTCATTTGAAGTTACAACATCACTGAAAAAAGTGACTTGTGACCATTTTTCACACTTGGATGACTGTTGCAGCATCCCCATGGTCATGTGATCAAAATTCAGATGCTTGGCAACTGACTCATATTTATGACAGTTGCAGTGTCCTGGGGTAATGTGATCCTCTTTTGTGACCTCCAGACAAGAAAAGTCAATGGGGAAGTCAGATTTACTTAACAACAGTGTTACTAACTTAACATCTGCAGTGATTCACTTAACAACTGGGGGAAAAGGATGTAAAATGAGGCAAAACTCACTTAACAAATGTCTCACTTAACAACAGGAATGTTGGGCTCAATTGTGGTTATAAGTCAAGGACTATCTGTATTTATTTGGAATGTGTGAAAGAGATGGGCCAACAAGCTTTCTCCAGCATGGGTTTGTAAATGCCTTATTGAAAGGTTTGGCATAGCTTGGGTTGGTGTTTTTCTCGCTGTCTGGTAACTGGTGTAGTGTGAGAGCACTAAAGGGTTTTTATATATCTATTTGGAAGTATTCATTGCACATCAATTGTGGGAATTATCCCCTTCCTAGCAAATCAAGTAAGATGAGAAATTCAACAAAACCTTTTTTGCAGTTCTGATATCATAATCATTAGCTTATTGCATGTGTTTTATTTTTTAGAATGGCTGTTTTGTTTGTTTCAAAGTGGTTGCACTAACTAATATCTGTTCGGAGTATTTAGAAAAAAAAAACCATGTTTCAGGGAGGTGCATGAAAGAGAACAAGTAATTGAGGTGTGGCAATTTGCCCATTCTGGGCATCAACCCAGACAAAACTTCAGAACACTTTTAGGCATGAAACAGTAAGGTTTAGAAGAAGCCTCTTGGGCTGCAGAAATCTGGGTAATTATTAGAAGGCATCAAATAAATTAAACAGAGCTGCTGCCTTCTAGTGATTGTTAAATTTTTTCAGGTCAGAATTGGCCCTAATCTTGAACTTAGAGCAGGGGTTCCCAATTGTGGGTGCGAGACGATATTCCAGGGGGTGCGAAAACTTGGATTTTCAAAATTATAATGCATAATTCGTTGCCGTTATTTCAAACTTTTGTAAGGGGTGCAAGAATATATCAGAAGTGTTCTAGGGGTGCAGGTTATAGAAAAGGTTGGGAGCCACTGACTTAGAGCAACCATTTGCCATGAATATAAGAGGTAGTCTAACTGAAAGAAATGTGAAGAGAGATAGATTGGCAGACTACATTTTCTTGATCTGTCACCCTAGACACAATCCTTTTAAGCAATTGCCTCTTTCCAGGGCGGGAAGACATCCTAGTATTATATATTAAATCATCAGTTGAGATGTTACTTTAAAATTATTTAAAATAAATCTTATCTTCTAAGATATAATTAAGAGCCAGTCTGGTGTAATGGTTAAGGCATCAGACTAAAAATCTTGCCTTAGGCATGAAGCCACTTGGATGACTCTAGTTCAGTCACTCTCTCTCAGCCCTAGGAAGGAAGCAGGTGTCACCCACTTTAGAAGTCTTGTCAAGAAAACTGCAGGTACGGTCCACATGGTTGTCAGAAGTCAAAACGGATTCAGTGGCATAAGAAAAAAACTATAACATTGCAGGTATTCACAGAAACGTGATCTGCTAACTGCTTCTTTACGTTATTTAAAGGTTTATCTGCAAAGTTTATCCCTCATTCCCTAGCTTCCTGCCAGAACTAGTTTCTGTCTGATAGCATGAGCAAAGATTACTCTCCAAGACAGGGTTAGCGAGAATACTAAAAATCTCCCTACTTGGCTACCATTATTTGCTTCCTACATATAAATACACACTCCAGGAAAAGTTTTACATCTGAAGTACTAAAAAAACAGGCAAACAATTGAAACCAGAAGATCCAAACATGTCTTTTCAGCAAAATACACCATAGGCTACATTTCAGATTTCCATACAGACTGTACATGTATGCATACCTTATCTCAGTAGGTCAGTCTGCATAGAGTCTTTAGAACTTGTAAGTACACTTTGGCATTGTCACAAACAAAAGTGTGTAACTTAGATAAATCAATTATTTCCTACAACATCACAATCAAAAATTCCAAAAGAGTTGACCAAATTAAAACAAACCATACAAAATTTGGGGAAAAAAGAAAATGTTGATGAGCTTAGGTACAAATGCCTACTCTACTTTTTAATCCTAGTGATTTTTGAGCTTTTGCAGTGCTTCTGATGATGACATAATCATTATACTAGTGTCCTGAATCCAAATATCCAGAAGAACTAAGAACACACACAAAATGTGCAGACACCCAAACATAGACTTAGACTTAGAATAACTTCATGGTCACTTTAAATGTATATTAATCAGCATACATTAAAATGACATTTCGTTGCATACAACTCTCAAAGGGTAACCACCTCCAATATATTTATTTATTTATTATTTATTTATTTATGAGACTTATATACCGCTTTAAGTGTAAGCACTCTCTAAGCTGTGTACATCAGTAAGCAATGTATATATATATATATATATATATATATATATATATATATATATATATATATTTACATTGCCCCCAACAATCTGGGTCCTCATTTTACCTACCCAGAAGGATGGAAGGCTGAGTCAACCGTGAGCCGGTGAGATTTGAACCGCTGACCTGCTGAACACAGTCAGCTAAAGTGGCCTGCAGTACTGCACTCTAACTGCTGTGCCACCTCGGCTCATACACTCCATAAACATGATCCCCCAAAAATTACAGATATACCTACATACATACACTTATATGACTCAGAGAAACAACACAGTCTAGTTTGGATGTTACATATAACAGGCTGAATAGTACAGTACAGAATCTTTTTGCATGTTTAGGTACACTTTGGAATCTCATTAAAAAGAAGGGAGAATGCAGTGTGCATAGTGCAAGAAGATAATGACACAAAAGTCCGTTTTGAAGTTCCAAACAAAAGTAAACCATATAGGCATTGCTTGGTGGACAAGAGATAAACTTTCCTACTGCTATTACTACAGGAGAAACACATGTTGATGTCCCAATTACCTATCTGAACTCCTAACTGTGACTTAATCTTCTCCACTTCGGCCTTTCCACAACCAGGAACCATCTCTAGGTGGGCTAGACTATCAGTGCTGACAGTCATCCTTGGGTCACATAGAAAGGCAAACATGAATTTTGATTCAGACATCAGCCACACCCACTGCACAATTCCGATGTAAGCCCGGCTGCTAAGATTGATATCTTTGGAACCCAAGAGCAGAAACTAATTCAGTGTGCTCAGCTGGTTCACCATGAAAAAGAATGGTTGAAGTGCAGAAGCTGCCGTGGTTAGGAGCATCCATCCATGAGAGTTAGAGGCAGAGGCTGAATGCTAACCCATGGTTTTCATAAATACATGTTGTTCAAGCAAGTTGTTTTGAATAAATATGTGGGGTCCCTCAGGAGACATCATGAGGAATCAGTTTTTCAAATTCAACATGATTCTTTCCTGGCCAAGATGATGCCTCACAGTCAGAGTTAATTGGTGAATAATGCAGCCGATGCCAACAAAGCTAACCTGCTAAGTTTCCTAGGTAAGTTGGGCCACTAGTCTCTGACCATGAAGGTACAGTTGAGATTTGACAGTTTTAAGAGACAGTCCATTATAGTTGTTAAGGCACCAGGCTAGAAACCATGAAACTGAATTCTAGTACAACCTTAGGCACTAAGGCTAAGCCATCTTGTGCCAGTCATTCTGTCTCAGCCCTAGAAAGAAGGAAATGGTAACCCACTTCTGAAAGTCTTGCCAAAAGAGTGCAGGGACTAATCCAGATAGTTATCAGGAATCAAACTAGGTGGCTTACAACAATAAAAAGGAAGATATGGAAAGAGAGTAAACAAAACAGAAGTAAAATAATAGAACAATAAAATAAACAACAAAAAAGAAAACAATGAAAATACATCAATATGATAACAAAAAGAGGCATGGGTGGAGAGCGGGGGGGGGGGTATTGGAGTCTGCCAACTATCAATGAGAAATAAATAAACAGATTTCAGAGGAATATTCCTGTGCTCAAACTGAATGAGAAACCAAAATCCATAGATCAGAGGCAGTTAAGTACCCTGCCTTCTCAGAGAACCACAAATACTTGAAAGGGAACTTAGTTTTTCACTTGAATAATTTTGATTTGTGATGTTTTGGAAAGCATGGCAATGGAGATCCTTTTAGGGAAGATTCTTTCAGCTTAAAATCAGTGTTTTCTTTTCAGATAAATATGGCAAAGAACCCATTTCTTCTCAATCTGCTTTCATACTGGTTGTCTGTGCAGTGTAATTAGATTAGTTCAGAATCAATTTCAGATAGCAGATTACAAAGTCTCAATATAGTTCTGTTGAGTATATGGAAATTTTCCATCTTTAAATATGGAAATTTCAATATGGTTTGTCCAGGAAACCTTGTGGGTAATGCAAGTTGATTAGTTAGCTCTGTACCAGAATCTCTGGTGTCTTTGGGTTGGTTCCCAGTGCTTCATATACCGGTAGTCTATCAAGCGTCTGTTCCTGAGTACACATGAGTACTCAGAGAGGATGGGAGATATAGGCAGTCCTCAACTTACAACAGTTCATTTAATGTTTGAAGTTACAACAGCACTGAAAAAAGTGACTTATGACTTTTCACATTTACGACCATGGAAGCATCGACGTGGTCACGTGATCAAAATCCAGATGCTTGGCAACTGACTTATATTTATGATGGTTGCAATGCCTGGGGGTCATGTGATCAGCTTCTGTGACCATCTGACAAACAAAGTCAATGGGGAAACCAGATTCACTTAACAATTGTGTTACTAGCTTAACAACTGCAGTGATTCACTTAACAGCTGTGGCAAGAAAAGTTGTAAAATGAGGCAAAACTCACTTAACAATTTTGAGCTCAATTATGGTTGTAAATCGAGAACTATCTGTACATCACTTATGGCAGTTCCATCCCCCACAGCAGAATTAGTTTAAAAAGGGTTCTTAAGAAAACAGAATCTGCAGTCATGAGGAACTTCTATTTGCACTTAACTGAAAGCAACAATAGGGAGAGTTGTACTGCTAAAAAGATATATTGAGTCCTTATGCTTTCCAAGTAGTAGAAAGCTTGTTTTAAAGGCTAATTTATTGTGTTTGTGGATATTACAGGTAGTCCTGGAATTACGAATGTAATGGAGCCTGCCCATTCCATTCGTAACTTGAGGATTCGTAGGAGTGAATCTCATACCTTGAATGCGATTCACTCCCAGCTTTAATGCATGGGCGAATGCGTAGCTTGTTAAGTGAACATCAGGTATCTCAGGGTGGGGAAGACCATGGGGGGCCTATGGAACAGGCCATCTTCAGACCACCCAAGGCCTTCCCTGATCCACTGAAATACCTCATGCTCCCTCTTCTGGGGGCCCACAATTGCTCCCTTCCCATCCTGCCGCGCAGGGTCACTTACTTTATGAAGATTTGTCTCCTCTCCAGCCTCTCTGTTTCTTTCTCTGCTCCCAACAAGAGCAGAGGGAGGCATCTGAGACCCTGAACGGACCTCTGGAAGCACATGGCCACCACCCATAGCCTGGGCCTCCAAGGCCCAGAATGTCCCTTTGGAGCCCCACTGAAGCGTCCCCAGCATCCTTTCCAGGCGGCAGCAGCCCAGAAAAGGCCTCCAGCGTCCGGAAATGACGCCAGGGGACGCTTCAGTGTGGCTACGAAGGTCTGATCCAAGCATCTGAGGTCTTTTCTGCCACTGATCTTGTATTACTTTAGGCCTCCATTCTCTGCGAACGCACTGAAGGAAGCAGCAAAACAGCCAAAAGTGAAGGATCTCTCGATCTTCTCAAGGGGAGTATCCATAGGCCTAGTGCCTAGGGAGATCCAGGGGGGGGAGAAGGGAATAGCCAGGTTGAATGTTGCAATGCCACTGTGGTCATTCGTAAAGGTGAACAAATGCCATGATGCAGCAACATTTGTAATTTCAGAACTTTTTCGTAAACACTGAGGCAGGGCTTTTCAACCGGTGGTATATGTACCACCAGTGGTACATTGGCACGTGGTACGCGGCCATGTCCAACCTAGCCAAGTGTAGCGGGGGAGGGAATGAGCCAAAGTGGCACAGCGCAGGACTTGTGTAAGGAGCTGCTGGGGTGAGGCAAAGTCCCCAGGATCAGCACTTCCGGCACACCCGGAAGAGAAAGGAAGAGGCGGGGGCAGAGACAGGAAGGGATTTAAAAGGAGGCAGTTTGGGTGGGAGAGGGACAGAAAAAAAAATACAACCTTGGGAGGAGGAGGAAGAGACAGTTGGCGCTGCACCGAAGAGAAAAGAAGGAAGAGGAGGAGGGCCGAGAGAGGAGAGGATAAAAAAAGCAGGCCGGCTGGCAGCCAATCTAAAGCTTCTGTGGCAGCCATCTGTACCGGGCGCACACACAGGTGGCAGCAAAAATCAGGCAAGAAACGCAGTTGGGGAAGGGTCGCCCTCTGGGAGGAATGAAGAAAAGCAGCATCCCCTAAAGGAGACCAGCAAATGCCCCTCACCCACTTCACCCATCCAAGGACTCCAGGGAAGGGGATGCTGCGAGCAGAGTGGGTCCACACACACACACACCCCAGCCTGCCCGGTTTCGGCAGGCAGCGGCCTGCTCTCCTCATCACTTGGAGAGGCTGTGCCAGGCAAGGCGAACCAGCGAGAAGCTGAACCTACCTGGGCGCACGTACAGGCCGCAGTGAGCACACGTGGCCTGGTGTCCCGGGTGACTGTTTTGCCCCGCAGACTGACCATGTTCTGAGAGCTTCCCTTTACACTTATCATGTAACGTTGGACGTTCGCTAACACTCATAACTCTGGGGTTACCTTTATTGTCTCAATTTTGAAAATGTCTATTTTTTTTCCCTAGGTTTTGCTCTTACTGGAAGCTGAAGGTCCTTTTGGTGGAAGGAATATTTAGATCTATTCGTTGTGAGGTTTTATGACATACCTGAAGACAATGACTTGATTATGACTCTCTTCCAATGGTATAATACATCTGTAATGTTTTGTCCTAGTGGCAAATTTTTGGTTCCAAGAGTGCTGTAAACTGGTGAGGAATTTTTTCTCCTTAATACTATAGCTGTCTTTGTGCAACTATTGTCAAATTAGATACTCATTTGATATATATTTATATCAATGAGTTATTTGGACATACAGGCAACATAACATATTCTCTCTTTCAATTGAGAAAGCGTGTGCTTTCCAGTAATCTTTTCACAGTTAAATGTCACTTGCAGGAGCATAAGATTTTCAAATAATCAAATTACAGTATTTTTGCTCCAAACGTAATCTTAATTCTGGATGCTGCTGCTGATTAACAAATTCTGTTTAGGTTCTGTAGTTCTATTGCTGTCCTTTTTAAAGAGAGAATTATGGGCATCTAATTGAAGACAGGATTTTTTTTATTTTTTTATTTTTATTTTTATTTTTTTTGTATTGGCAGCAAGATTAGCATGTAGTGGCAATGAGCCCTTAAATATCATCATATATTTGAATTCAACAAGGGACCGTAAGCATTAAGTTTAAAAGTGAATGATTTGACCCTGCTGGAATTGCGTATAGCTAATAATAATGGATTGAAATAGTGCAATATTTCTGAAGTTCAGACGCCTGTTTTGTACACCACTACATTAATGATGATATTGTTGTACTGTTAATTTATTACGGAAAAATCATTTGACTTTTATCTGTTGTAAACATTGTAAATTGTCTTTGTAATATCTATAATCTTTATAATAAGTGCTATAGTGTATTGATAGCATTGTGGAGTTTCACAATGCTATGAGTACAGTAACTTTTATGGTTTAATTGATAGTCAATGAAAAGCATCATTGTAATATATTGAGACCTTGGAGTTTTTATTTAACAGCAGGAAATTATCCATTATGCACTATTTAAGTAGTAAGATTTTAATTTTAATTTTTTATATGTTTTGACTATGTATAACTTAACTCTCCATAGAACTTTCATTCATAATATGTTTACTTCTCAAATTCTGTTACTCTGTTACTCAAGTCTATAAAGCAAATTAAACCCAGGTTGAGAAGTAACTTTGATCTGAATGCAAGTTCAAACTGGGAGTTCAAATGTTGCTTTGGTATATTTAATAAATTATTGTTGCTGGCATTATTCTTCACATAACCTATATTGGAATAAAATTATGTCAATCAAGAAACTATCCCTCTTTCTTATGCACATTTTATAAATAGAGAGTATTTTAGGTAAAAAAGAATCATTGTGGATGATTGCATATATAAACTGATATTGGTTAACCAATTAGATAAATAGATAAAACAAACTGCCACACATGTTTCTTATGTATTTATTACATGACAAAATTTGGTCACACTTATGAAAATGGAATCATTTAAATTTGAAAGTAAATTTAAAAAAAACTGATCAGAATGTTTAGTGTATTTCGTTATGTATGGAGTTAACAACTCACTGAAAATGTTATGCAGTTGTTACCTAGGAAAGAGAAAACAAAACCACAATTGTACTGTAAATTGACCGCTGTAAAATCTTTGCATGGGAAAAGTTTGTTATACCAGTCATTCGCAATACTTGTTGTAGTGCTAAAATGATACATTAGAGGGCAGACTATAACTTCAGATTTCTATATCTAATGCATTGTAAAAATTTGCAGCTAATACATGTGCAGCATAAGCATTCATCAATAGAATGTAATTAACATTTTTGGTTTTTTATGAATATTTGGGCTTCTTTGATCCCTTGTAAAGTTCAAGGAACATATAGCTGAAAGAAGTGAAATATTTTGATATACAAAAATGTTTTAATAAATGTGCTGGATTTAATTCTCAGTACAAAACTTGGATGGATTCTGATCTACTGTACTATGTTTTTGTATTATGGACAATATGAAGGATGAGTACTATTACATTACATTAAATTATAACTGGTAAGCAACACAGAGCAGGAAAACTGAATTCTTGGAGAAAGGGACTGTTCAGCGTCTAAATCACTATATGTGGATTTTGTTTAAGTCAGGATTTGATTATACTACGGTAACTTACAATTTGATTAAGATGGCGAGCCAATTTTTCTTGCTTTTACTAGGTAATTATGATGCCAGGGATAATTCTTCGCTTAATTTAACAATTTAACTATTAATATTTCTTAGGAACTGTATACAATACAATCAGCACAATGCTGCTACGATCGACCAAAATGCAGAAACCGTTTCAGCTGGCATTTAGGACCTGTTTGCTATCCTATCGTTCCTGTATCTTTCCATGCATCCAAGGAAAAACATCCTTACACCCAATTAGGCAGAAAACAACATCCTTGGTGCCGAGCTGCCAATGTCAATACCTGCATTCGTCTGCTCCTTTTTGGGATTCCAAGGAAGGGAGCTTTGTGGGCAAGACATCTTCCCAACCTGAAGACCCTCAAAATAAAGAACTGAAGAGAGAAAATCTTACCACATCAGCTGGTAATTTTGCCAGGGAAACACCTATACAGCCTAATTCTGTAGAACTTGACCCTTTGCAAGATAAATCAATTAGTCTTGTGCAGAGATTCAAGAAAACTTTTAAACAGTATGGCAAAGTTCTGATTCCTGTGCATCTTTTGACCTCCAGCATATGGTTTGGAACTTTTTACTATGCAGCTTTAAAGTAAGTGCAGAGGTATTAGCTGAAACACCGATGATAATTTCTCTGTTATAATTCCTGTTGTGTCCTTTTTTAAAAAAAAAAAAAAAAGCTGTACATAAATTTGGGGAGGCTGGACCTGAAAAAAGGAAAAGATGGGAAAGAATCATTGGTACCCTGTGTTTCATTTCAAAATAACAGTGTGTATTATCTTAATTGGCCAAGCATTCAGCGAAAGATCGAGTGAGCAGATTAGCACAGGATAGTTTTTAAAAGCTGAGAATTTAACAAACACTGTTTTGCTTATTGAAAGCTTTAGCTATTCCCAAGAATAGTAGAATTAAAGAGCCTGGAGCTTATCATATTTGAAATTAGAAAAATCTTAGAACGTTATCAAGAATCTCATACTTGAACAATTGCTATGAAAATACTTGATTTTGTATGAGAAGAGGAATGCATTTAGATGTACAAGAGAAGCAATGAAACACTTAAAGGACTTGTAACTTTTCTGAGTAGGAAGCCCAAATGCACATAAAGTGCCTATGCATATTCTAAAATAAAATTGATTTTAATAGATTAACTAAAGTAAGTTTATACTAATAGCCCCTTGAACTCAGTGGGAATTTTAATACAATTCTATAAAATTGCACTGTGATTTTCTTACCTAAATCTATCAACTTTCTTTTGGAGGTTTCCTTCCCTCACTCTTGTTCTGTGCCAATTTATTGATTAGTGGAAAGTGAAGTTTGTGGATAGTGAAAAAAATCTGTGTTAAAGGCCATCCTTCATTTATTTCCATGTATTCACATGCCAGCAACTTCTGTTAGGTTTTAGAAAGCTCCTAATTTAATTCCTGGCCTATCAGTTAAGAAAAAACAGCAATTTTTAAATCAATGGTTATCTCTATTTCACTTCAAAATAAAATTACAAAGTCCACATTAAGTATTTTTTTGCTTTGTGCAATAAAATATAACATTTTTAAAACTGATGTTTGTTATAAGTTGTGTTTTCAACTTAGAACCATTTGTTTAGTGATAGCTCAAAGCAATAGCTCTGAAAAAAGTGGCTTGTGACACCCATTGCAGCATCCCTGTGATCACATGATCAAAATTCAGATGCTTAGCAACTGGCATGTATTTATAACAGTTGCAGTATCTCGGGGTCATGTAATCACCTTTTACAACGTTCTGACAAACAAACAGTCAGTGGGAAAGCCAGATTCACTTAATAACTGTATTGCTAACTTAGCAACTGCGGTGATTTACTGAACAAGTATGGCAAGAAAGGTTGTAAAATGGGACAAAACTCACTTAACAACCATCTTGCTTAGCAACCGAAATGTTGGGCTCAATTGTAATCATAAATCGAGAACTACCTGTAAAAATAAGACCATAAGATGCCATCTTAATGAAAAAATAGTAGCGTGAAGGAGTCTATTAAATAGGAAGCTATACTTGTATTTATAGCAGTTCTAATGTTTTATTTTCTGTTTCAATCCTAGCTTTATTTCAAAAGGTGAGCAGTTTCTTGTATTGTGTAATATGTAAAAAATGCTAATGAGGAAGCTAGAATAAGTAGTACAGGTTTAATTAGTACTTAAGACAATATCTGCTAAAGCTATGAACTTCAAATGTATAATATAGGATCTCTGCTCAGTAATTTTGCTGCATGCTTGCATGCATGCTCTAAAACTTACTAAGGAATATTTAAAATATCCCTGGCTTAAGTTACAGACTTGGAACCCCTGCCATATACACAAAAGTGTGACAAAGTTCCGTGGGATTAATCCCATGTATATATGAATAGACTAGCACCTTAAAGGAGTTTTAAAGGGTCTGTGCTGTATGAATTCAGTAGTTCTATAAGAAGGATCCTAAATATATGTGAATTCCTTTGTATATTTAAAATATGATATCTTGTTGAAAACTAAAACAGTGGTCCCAAACATTAATATTCTAGCTTCCCAATTTAGATCCTTAAATTTGTTTAAATCTGTATCAAGCTACATGATCAAGAAGTAAATGTAATTAATGTCTGTAATATCTAATAAAACCAGCTATTTATTTTTTCTTAATACCTAAAGATAAGTATGTATCTGGAAACAAAATTTTAAACAGCTTGGATGTTTATTACCCTGAGAAGGGATAAATTTAGAATGACATTTAGACCCATTGCTTTTAGAAAGGGCATTTAATGCCATCTGGTTAGAATAACTAAAATAGTTATGATACCTTCTGATCTCAGAGACACTTGTGCTTCTGCTCACTAATTATCATTGTTCTACCTCTTCTATGAGAAGCCAAAAATTGTAACCTACTTAAAACTAACAAATCTTCACTTCGGCGTTGCCAGTAATTGACTCAGTAGATGTTTGTTTACTGTTATCTAGGGGTAATGACTATCCTTTTCCAAAGAAAACAACAGTTAAGTTTCTATCCTAACAAATCATGTTTCAAGACCTTGAAAACTTTCTGCCAATCAAAAGTGATAGAATTCATAAAGATGAGCTGAAAAGAAAAGCATGGTTACATTATAAAAAGGTAAAGGTTTCCCCTGTCCAGTTGTGTCCAACTCTAGGGGGGGTGATGTTTCCTAGCTAAGGAAGCCAGCATGTCTGAAGACACTTCTTTGGTCATGTGACCGGCATGTCTATATGCCAGGGCACATTTATTTATTTATTTATTTATTTATTTTATGAGGCTTATATACCGCTTTTAAGTGCAAGCACTCTCTAAGCAGTGTACACCAGTAAGCAATGTATATATATATATATATATATTTACATTGCCCCCAAGAATCTGGGTCCTCATTTTACCTACCCCGGAAGGATGGAAGGCTGAGTCAACCTTGAGCCGGTGAGATTTGAACTGCTGACCTGCTGAACACAATCAGCTAAAGCGGCCTGCAGTACTACACTCTAACTGCTGCGCCACCTTGGCTCACATGGAATGCTATTACCTTCCTACCGAAGTGATATCTATTTATCTACTTGCATTTGCATGCTTTCAAACTGCTAAGTTGGAAGGAACTGGGGTAAGAACAGAAGCTCACCCTATCACGCAGTAGTTAGGTTTCGAACTGCCCACCTTCCAGTCAACCAGTGTCTTTTAACCAAGCCTTAAAGATATAATTGAATTTGTTCTCAGAGAAACATGTACGGTTGTAACACTTGATTTTTTCGTATTGTGAGTTATATCCAGTAAAGTTTCCAACAATATTAACTCTCCAAGGCACAGGTTAAGGTATTGTTTGAATTTAGCTAAAGTTCATTGGTTCAAATGGATCTGGCTTAACATTTGATACTCAGTTTTAATGTAATGGAGACTACATGTTCAGAATAATGTTTAATTCATATTTTCAGAAGAACTGGCTATATTTTTCTCTTAAGACATATTAATTAATTGTGTAACGTGTTTAGACAAGAAGTTGATATATGCCAGATAGAATTTTGCAATATTAGCTTTTATGGTTGAAGCAGACATTCCAAAATTCTTTTAATGAAAGTCATATAGCCTGCCCCTGAGGACTAATACTTTTATTCATCTTGGCCTTGAGTTACCACAGTAAAGACAATGGTGAAATAACTCCAAGAATCAGTTATGTCTGAATAGCCTAGATAGGTGATTCCTAACATTTTCATGCATAGCACTACATCATTAGTTTTGAAGACCCCTATATTAGTCAAAGATCATCAACCTGGCACCTGCAGGTACTATGTTATACTTGATCTCTTCCATTTGATGCTCTTAGGATTCACAATTTAGGTAAAAATAATCAGAGCCATACAAAATCATTACATCTTCCAAGCTGCTGGTTTTCCCACCTGAAATATTAAATTGACAATCTGGTGATATTTTTGCAATTTAGATATGTTTATTATTCTATATGCATACACAGATATACATACAAATTTAATTTGGAAGCTGTATAGTAGATCATGTAAAGTACCCTCCCAGATCCCTAGGGCATGGAACACATGTTATAAATCATAGTTTTAAAATATTGGAATTAAATTTCAAAACTGGAAATCTTCTGTAATGGATATACTTCATTTTTTCCTTCTTGACAATTGTCCTATTGACCATTCATTCATTACTCTGTATCAGTTGAGGGAAAAAAAAAACAAATGATTTGTTATCAAATATAAAAATCCTTCTTTATTATAATTCTACAAAAAAGTTTACCAAAATAGGAATGTTGTAATTTATTTTAATATGTCTTCATTTTACAGGGGAGTAAATGTCGTCCCGTTTCTTGAATTCATAGGGTTGCCTGAAAGCATTGTAAACATCCTAAAGCATTCTCAAAGTGGAAATGCATTAACTGCCTATGCATTGTATAAGGTAAGTAGATGCATGGATTTCTTAACCCTACCCACAGGAATATTTGAACATACGGTTACAATAGAAGAGAATATCCATAGCTCAGAGCTGAACTGTGGAGTCCCTGGTGCTCTCTGAGCTTGGTTGTTTACTCACCATTGTTTCATTGTCTGACAAGGTAACATTGTCAGTTCTAGTGATTGTGGGATTTGTATGCATCCATGAACACAACTAGCAGAAGACACAGTGAAAACTCTTTAATATCACCATACATGGACAGATTCAACCATAATTTCAACTGGAAAACTGAGCATCCTAGAGAAAACTAAATCCAAAAACACTAGCAAATTCCTGGAAGTTTGGCATTAGATAAATCAGCTATCAACAGACACATAGAGATAAACCACATTTACACATTTAGACACCATTCAAAAGAAACAGTTTAAAGCTAAGAAGGAAACAAAAAGCCAGAACACATCCACTCCAGCAGCAACACCCTGGGATTAGTACCAGACAAATAAGCAGAAAACAATACCCTAATCAAGGAACTGCCAGGGAGAAAACCACCACCACCCCACTAATATTAGCAGGGAGAACAGAGAGCAAATTCTGCACCCACTAGTTGGATAATAAAAGCTCAAACAGCATCAAGAATTACATTAGGTAAATAGGCTTCCTTAATTTGGGGCAGACTGCTGGAATTTGTGGACAGAGGTGGGTTAAGGAAAACTGAATCAATCAACCTCGGACTATTCCCTACAGAATTACCACTGAGCCTCTGGGATTCTACATTCAAAGTATGCAATTGTGTGTGTGTATAATTACTGAGGAATAGATTCTGTCACGAGAGCTCTGAATAAATACAATAATGCTATAATTAATAAGATAAATTCTATATGGTGATAAAAAGAAAGATGTTAAAAATTCATTTACATAATTTGACGTTTATGAGGAAAAATATTTAGTGGAATGCAAACATAGTTAAAAAGCAGTTTGTAAGAAAGTAGAAAAACAGTGTTGGAGGAATGAAAAAGGAAGAAGGTGAATAATGAAAAGCAATGTCTATTTAGAAACTAAGAAGACGCTGGGTTGTATTCAGTAACATCATTCTGCTCATCAAATTGCATGTAATCTTCTAGAGGAGATTTGGGGTGCAATTGGCAACACAGGGAGAGGAAAATCATATTGCCCAAGCGCCCTTCTACAGCAAATTCGCCGAGGCCTCTTTTTGTATCACTATCTGTAAAACATTTCTTGTGGGAAAATGTTCCAGTTAAATGTTCTGTATTTCACAACTTTTATAATATACCATCTTGTTCAGTAAAATGTGACTTTTTTGCAAAATCTAGTTTGTCACAAACTTAGTTAAATGTTTCTCTGTTTTTAAACGTTCAAAGGACTTAACAAGTGATGTAAGATTTGATTAGTTGCTCCAGGAACCTCATTTGCAATTCCCTCTATAGCCTTTGGCACGACAATGCTTGCTTTCCCATCAGTGTCTCCATTACTACCCTGGCCCTCTTATTAGTGGAATAATAATGGAATGTTAATAGTGTTGCTCTGCAAAGCATCCTGACCTTTCTTTATAAATAAAAAAGGGCAAAATTCATTGCAAAGCAATACTGTTTAATTTGCTTATGTGCCTGTGAGCTTAGGACTCTGTGGCTTAAACTATCATTATCAGTACTACGTGACAACATTAAAAGTGCTGGCTCTGCAGAATTATTAATAATTTAAAATTTATCTCTTAAAAATATTACAAAAATGCCCAGACTTTACAGATATTGTTAATCTTTGTATACTCTAAAATTTAGGTTTAAATATCTTTTCTGGCAATAGTTTAAAATAATCACTTAATGCATGAATTTTCTGGTTTTCAGCCTTAAAGAACAACTTCGGAAAATAATATATATTTTTGTACAAAAAGCACAATTTTATTTTTTTTTAATCTCTGCATCTCAATACTTTAAAGACAAAAGTTTTCTTTTATTACATGACAAAGAATTACTTTCTTGTCTCAATAGCATTTAGGATTTTAAATACCCATGCACACTGAATGCTTTTTTATTTTTCTCAGATCTCTTTTTCTCTGCTTAATGCCACGTACTTTGAGCTGAATCTCTTCCATCCTTGCTGAAGTATTTGTTAAATACTTCAGTTGCCAATAAGATACTATTAAATAAAGTGGGAGGGTATTTTTAAAAAACTACTTTTAATTTTAATTTTTAAAGTAGAATATTTAAATGAATACAAAACACCAAACCATAAACCAGGAATGGCATACTAGGTTCAAAATTGGAAAGGACAATCAAAACTGCATAAAAATCCTATTTAATTCATACAGAGATATTTTTTTCCTTTTTTAAATATTTTGAAAGTTTTCAACTCTGTCTAGGAATTATTCTTTTAGACAAAATTTTCATTGTATCTCCATAGAAAATATAGTTGTCTTTCAGTAGCTACATTTTATTTTTAACTTTATTCAAATGAAACTGCACAACTCATCTATCAAAGCTTTAAGAGCAATAAAATAATTCAGGCAAACCATGAGACTAAATTTAGCTTTCTCTTTCAACTTCAACAGTGATCTGTTCTGTAAAGTACTTTGCAGATGATGCATTCTGCATTTCAGAGTAGATTTTGGGCGGCACAGATGTTGCTGATGAGACCAGCTTGTTCTTTTGGTGACTGAATGACTTATTAAAATGCATAGATCTACCAATATCTCTTTAGGAAATGCTCTGGATACCTTGGAGAATTTCCTTGCTAGGCTATATCAGTACTTTAACTGCACTAACATGGTGTCTAAAGAGCTGTAGCCAAGCCTGTGAATGCTATTGAGCAAAAGAATTTAAAGTCCCTTAAGTCCTTAATGTTTCTATATGTTTTTTTTTTTTATTGGCAAGATTGCAACTCCAGCCAGATACACAGTGACTTTAGGAGGAACATCTATCACTGTGAAGTATCTTCGCAAGCAAGGACATATGTCCACACCACCTCCCGTGAAGGAATATATTCAAGACCGAATGGAAGAAACAAAAGAACGAATCTCGGGAAAAATGGAGGAAACAAGAGACATGATTAGTGGAAAAATGGAAGAAACAAAAGAAAAATTAACTGAGAAAATGGAAGAAACAAAAGAGAGGATAACCGAAAAGATACAAGAAACCAAAGATAAAGTTTCATTTATAAAGAAGAAAGAATAGGAAAATTGGTGTGAAAGGTGATATTTTTAATCCTTTAGAATATCTGAAATGTATGTTCTTGCTACTGTTCCTGTCCATTTTGTTATAGGCTGACTAGACATTTGAAAGCTAAAAAGATAACGCTTAAGACGTACACTGGCCTTAATAAAAATGATCCAACGTTTTCCAATGTATGATGTAGTAAATGCAACAGTTTTCTCCACAACTTAGTTCCTGGAGAATATTCTGTGGTTGTCCCATCAGTGACTTGAATGAATCTCTGCACAGTTGAATGGAGCTGATATTCTTACCTGGCATCACTCACCTTGTTGTAAAACAAAGTATTAAAATGGCTCAGTCATGTAAACAATCTTGAATATTAGAAATTGTGACAAAATTTGTATATTAATTAATCTTACTATCTCTAAAAAGATCAGGTAATTAGAAAGCTAGGTTATGTTCCATATTCCTTTTATAAAAACTTGACTTAAAATGATGCGTGAGGCTCAGTGAAATGGTACTAAATGTAATTTCATATTTATATTGTAAAATGGACTTTGATTCTTCTTTAGGCTAAAATAAGTATTACATTTCATATCACCGATAAAGCTTTAAAAACAAAGATCTATCTTTATTCATGGAATAAATGTTTACATCCTTTTAGCTTAGTGAAGAAAAAGAAACACTGCTACCATTTTTGTAGAAAATCCTCCAATATTGTTATTAAAGGCTAAAACAACATTATTGTACTATTAAATGCTATATATTCATCTCAGGTAGGGTTTTGGATTTTTGGGGAGAGATGGCTGAGATCAAGACATTATGATTTCCATTTATTGTTTTGGTGATCACAGCCCTGAACATTGATATTGCAGGTACTTTCCCTGTGATGAGAAAAGGTCATGGGCAGGTAATAGAATAAGTCAAGGATCTCAAAACTTGGCAACTTTAAGATTCATGCATTTCAAGTGTCAGAATTCTCCTATTGGCTGGAGAATTCTTGGAGTTGAAATCCACAAGTCTTACAATTGCCACGTTTGGAGACCCCTGATATAAGGGATTGAAGCATTAGGGTGAGAAGAACCTTTGAAATAACTGTCACATCTGTGTTAAAATCCATGGTTTATATCACTATCTCTGTTGTGACTTAAAGGAATACTTGCAAAGTGCTTTACCTTAATGTAAATCAAGCACTTTGTTGGTTTACAATTCAACTACTTGGGAACTGTATATATTTTTTTTAAAAAAATCCAATTTGCTTCTTTCAATTCTGTTAAATTAAAACATCTGATACTAGTTAGTCTTAGAAGCTCTTTGTCCAAAAAGCAATAAAAAAGTGGTTATTGAGGTGATAAGAGACCCAGGAGACAACTAGGAGCCAGTTACCAAAATCAACCTTGCCTACCTATAAAGCAGGAGTGGTTTAGAAAATGTATTTTCTTAATTGGTAAAGTTTGATAATTTCATAAAAGCACTATACTACTAAACAATACTTATGTAAAAGCAAAATAATGGTTTTTGAGAATTGGTTATGAGATTATATACTCTTATGATAGCATTGCTGAACACTATCTTAAGCTTACAGTGGAAAGTTGTGTCCCATGAAGTCAATTCTGTGTGAAACAAAACCTTGCTATATTTACGTACTAGTTCTTCTAATGAGAGAAATCCTACAGTTGTTTTCAAGCATGGTTTTACCCCTATAAAATACTTGTTTCATATTTTTAATATGCAGGCAAGTTTAAAATATGTACAGTATGCTTTCTTGTAAACCTAATGAATATTGTACTCACCAAATATTCTTACTGCCAATTGCTATCCTAGCATTGCGAGAAGATACTCACAAAAGCTTGGCAGAATTATCTTTTTTGATCTATCAAAGAATTGCTTGATAAAAGTAGGACATTATTTTGGCCAATATTACATCCATGATTTGCTTCTAAAAGCAGTGGTATGTAAAATAGATTGCTATTCATTTATTAAAGGTAACTTACCATCTTTGTGATTTGCAAGCTTCAGCTATTTCTCCTTTAGTAGATTCAGAGCAACCTTTGTAAACATGCAGAAAGAGAAATGCTAATTTGAAGTTTAGAATTAAATGATTTGGCAACTAGCAAACACCATCGAAAGAAAAGGACACAAAACAGAAAATATATACTTTGCCTACAAGATCATTGGACTTAAACATATTCCATTTTTATAGAAGCAGCATTTTGGAAACTTTTTCGTCCATAATTCCATGGATATTAAATTCTAACATTAACAGATATGATCAAATTACATAACAGGAAATGGTATGGGAGCTCTCCCCTAGCAAAAAGTGAATAAAATATTTCTTGTATTTTCTGTACTTTTAAGTAATTTTTAATGAACAGATTCTTATTTAATGCCAGTGTATTCAGAATGAAAATATGTCTCTTTCAGTATTTCAATTTGATTCTGGTAAAAGTATCAGGAATTTCAAATAATAGTTCCAGACTGATATAAATGGAAGCAGTATTGGCCCGGTTGCTATGGAACAGGCTAAGCAGGATTTAATAATATTCATCAAAGCACTGCTCAGTTCTTTCATAAATTTGTTTTGATTATATTCACTGCAGAGGAATTGTTCTTAAAATAATAGCGCAGATAACATTAATTGAATTAAAGTACTGCGGCTGTACTGCATTGTCTGTTCTTTTTGTATAATTGGCTTAGGGTACCTATTAGTTCTAACACTATTTTACCATTCTCCAAACCAACTGCTACAAACCACATACACACACTTTACACAGGTATTTATTTATATTTCCCAAACTTGAAAGTAGAGTTAATATGATTACTGTGGAAGTTTGCTTAGTCATATTGAACTTCAACAATGCTGGGCTTGCTTCAGGATTGCTCTTTTGCTGAGGGGACTAGCTTTATCAACAAAAAGCTGGATTGTCTTTCTTGACCAGCTGACTAAGGAATTCTGAGAGTTGAAAGGCACAAGTCTTAAAAGTTGGCAAGACCCTGGTCTTGACCCACCAAATCTGCTCTTTGCAGCTGGGAAAGACTCCTGGAGCATATGGGGAAGGGATGCTGAAGAACTTCTGGCAGGAGTTCCAAGGGTAAAAGGGAAGCTTGAATTCCATCACTCTTTGGGCAGAGCAGTACATGGTTCTCCTTTTTAAAATGTTACAAATTAATATTCAAATTGACATGCAATGTCACATATAGTGAATGTGCAGCTTGAATAGTTTAAATTAGCTATATCTTTCTACTTGTCCAATAATCCCTGACTATATTTTAAGCAGAAAACGCAACTAGATGAGCTAATTCTGCCTTCTTATAAGGCTACATTAACAGAATCTTCCAAATTTGAAGGTACAATTTTCCACCACCATATTAACCATCTGAACAATTAAGGTGGAGCGGGGCATCCTAAATTTCTTCCTCAGGCCCTTAATTCACTAAGGCAGTGGTTCTTAACCTGTGGGTCGGGACCCCATTTGGGGTCGAACGACCATTTCACGGGGGTCACCAAACAACGCAGTCCGCCATTTTTTCCCCCTTTTCCTTAGCTGTGCTACTCCCTTTTATTCTATTGGCTTTTGAAAGCCAATAGAATAAACTCTCTTGAATAGAGTCTAATTCTATTGGCTTTCCAAAGCCAATAGGAATTGTCCAGGCTGTCTCTGCACTGCTGAGCCCGCCAAAATCCCATTCTGCAAACGGTGCTGCAAGTTGTCTGCAGCGAAGGCGAGCTGTCTGGAAGCTTCCACCCCTCCCTGCTGAGCAACTACTAAAAATGTAAGTAAAAGAGGGCCAGGGGTGGGAGGTGGGAGGCCGGCGGGCACAGGGAGGGTTGCTGGCGCGCATGGGGCCCGGCGGGTGCCTTACCTCCTTGAGCTGGGCCAGCTGGTAGCCCAGCCAGTGGTCGGCCTGCGCCGTCTCTGCCACTTGCCAGCTACACCTCGGCCGGCGCAGGTGGCGGCACCACGCATGTGCGGCGCTCCCAGGCGCTCCCGAACTCAGCTTTCCATCGTTCTGAGGTCTGTAAAATGAGGAGCCAGATTGTTGGGAGCAATATGCTGACTCTGCAAAAAGCTTAGAGAGGGCTGTAAAGCACCCTGAAGCTTTAGTCTAAGTGCTGTGGCTAAATGCTAGCAGTTTGTACATATTCTGCATGTTAAGTCTATAGAACTAATATATATTGCCAACATTAAATGTTGCACAAATCTCATCATTTACCAATACATAGTAAAAGATGAAAGTGTATTATCTTTAAGAGTTAAACAAAATTCCTGTGTTTTATAAGTGGACGGAATTATCCCTGCATAGTGCAGTCCACTGCTGTTTTGATACAGTATTTCCAGTATTTAAATCCAATTAATATTTAAAAGGAGGGTGGAGGTATACAAAACTGTTTCATATAATTTAAACATATACCATCGTTTGAAAAGCAATGCCTATGTAGAACTGGAGGTTCATCACTAGCTTGACTAAATGGTTAAAATGTTTTGTAATGAATTCTCAAAAATAATTTACTAAATTTATACGCTGTCCAATTCTCAATTATTCTGGGCAGTTACAAATAAAAAAAAACATTCTAAACAAGGAAAAATATGACAGACAAACATGAAGAGTAAAGATAGCAAGGATGACAAAAAAGAAACAAAACTTGCATAATCCAAATGGGACTTCACAAGGCTTGGCCAAATCTTGGGGTGGGGGGGACCTCATTCCAGAGGGCTGTGCTGCTGCAGAGAAAATGCATTTCTGGGGTCCTGTTTAATTAAAGGAACTCAACCCTGCCAAATTTGTTACTATGGGAGACAGGCAGTCCTTCAGATAATCAGTCCTTATGTCATGTAAAGCTTTATAGTAACAAGCAGCATCTTGAATTACACACAAAAGCAAATTGGCAACCACTGCAGCTTATGTAACAAACATGGTACGTCCATCATGGCTGATTGCTGCTGCATTCTGCATCTGTTGAAGCTTTTAAGTGGTCTTTAAGGCTGGTGGAGCACATTGCATAATCAAGCCATGATATGATCAGGGCATGAGTGACTGAATCAAGGAAAGAACACAACTAGCACATCTGGTGAAGCCAGGGAAAGTCCTTCCTGGCCACAGCTGCTCTCTGCTAATTAAGCAGGAACTATGAGTCCAAGAAGACTCACAGCTTTCATATCACCCTTGAATGAGGAAGTGCAATGCCATCCAATATCTGAATATCTCCAGATATGGGTGGCCTGAATACCTACAACCAGTCTTATAGGACTGAGTTGGAGATGGTTCCTTCCCATCAAACCTGTATAGCCTCTAGGCACTGGACAGAATCTCAACAGCCTTACTTGGCCAGTCGGGTTGAAATATAATTGGATATCATCAGAATATTTATGTTGCTAATCTCCAAACTGGCAATGACTGCACCCAGCAATTTCATACCGAAGCTGATAAAGAAGGGAGAAAGAGTAGAATCCTGAGGCCTGTAGAACTATTTCTCCCCTGTCCAACCAACACCAATTGGAATCAGCCCTGGGGAAAGGAAGAGAACCACCACAAAACAATGCCCCAATCCTCGACCCACAGATCCATCTCAGGATACCATGACATCAAAAACTGAGAGATAAAAGAGCACAAGGATAATTCTACCATGTCCATCCCAACTCTGCCACAATCAAAAGTATCCCAGCCAGGAACCAGTCAAACAGGTATAGCTAATTCTATTTCCTTCAAGGTTCTCAGCTGCAGAATGTTAATCTTGTCATCAGCTTTCCCCCAAAAGGAATATTAGAGATTGGTGAATAGTTATTGGAAAGTTTTGAGTCAAAGAATTACCTTTTGAGGGGGGGGGGGATCCAATAAGATTTGAAATGTCTTTATCTTGAATTCTGAATAAGATCAATAAAGGAAATGGATCTAATTCTATTTTAGTTTGGCACTACATCTAATGACTTTCTTCTCAAAGTTAAATTTTTATTATGTTTCACTGATCCCATGTGTAATAAGATACTCCCTAATATAATAATAATTATTATTATTATTATTATTAATAATAATAATAATAATAATAAAGTTGGAAGAGACTTGGAGGTCATCTAGTCCAACCCCCTGCTCAGGCAGGAAACACTATACCATTTCAGACAAATGGCTGTCCAATCTCTTCTTAAAAACTGCCCAGGTTCTTCCCATCACATACCCTGTCCATTTTCAGACTGGTATATTTTTCTTCTCGTGACGGAGGATGGAGAATCACATTTGTTTAATATTCTGGCCCCCTTTTGCAACTCCACTAATTACTAAAAAAAAATCTCCATTCTTTCTCATATATTTTTCCTATCAGCTATAATAACAATTGCACAAACTTAATTACTTTTAGCAGTTATCCGACAGTTTTGATAAAGCTGTTTCTTTAAGTAGAAATAACACATCTTGATTGTATAAGCCACAAGAGGAACTTTGCATTTGTTTCCCAGACTAATTAATAACTCAGACAAATAAAAAAGATTGTGTGTGTTAGTATGAGATTGGATGTCTTTTTCTTTTCTCAAAGTTGTAGGGGGATTTGTAATTAATCATTTATTAAAAAGACACAAATTAGTGGTAGACTGAGTGTGGTTAAAGGGGCAAAAAGTGCTTGTATACAAAGATGGAACATATTTAAATAAAATAAATAGATAATGGGGAAGTCATCCAACTTCATACAAGAAGTTACTGATATGTAACAGGCTGCAAGAATTAATCCACATGTTAAAGAAAGCTGAATTACCAGCCTCTATATCCCTATAGAATTAGCAGACTGACTCTGGGATTCTATATTAAAAGTATTTCCTGGATCCCATCAGTAAAATGTGATTTAAAAATAGATTGGGAGGGGGAGGAGGAAGGTAAGAATTCAGTCTATAAATTAATACAGATTAGAGAAAGCTATTATAGCTGGACTATATGAGGGCTAGGTAGATTAAATGTGCTGCTATTGCTTTTCTCTTGTGATGCAAATAATGCCATATTGTGATGGTAGAAAGCATTAAGCTGGCACAATAAGTGAGACTTATTTTTCAGTTGGTAAAACAGTCTAGTAAGATTTTGATTTTGAGAACATGACACATGGTGTTCAACCCAGTTAAGCTAAAGGTTTACCTGCATAATTATATAATCCTGTTTATGCTAATGAATCTGAAATCAGGCTAAATCTAAATACTTTGCTAACTGTAGGGACTATTAAATGGTTTTAACTGCAAATACTTAGAGTTAGGCTGGGTACCACAAGCCATCCATTCACTTGCTTTTCCTTTATGCAATGGGCAAACAATAGAACAATCATTTCCAGGATCCTTTGATATGATAAAATTCTTTTTAAAAAATAGTTAATGCTAACTAATGGGGGGAGGGAGAGGGAGTATCAACACAGGAAACCTCAATCAGCCCCGGGCATGGAAATGATTGACAGATCAATAGCTGTTTTTTGATTCTGTGCCGGTGATGCATGGTTGTTTTTAGTTGGTGGAGTGATTTGTCTAGTTAATTCCAATAACCAACAAGGCTCTGGCATGCTAATTACTTATGTGACCCCAAAATAGTTCAGCATCCAACATCTTAGAGGGACAAGTAGACTGAGACATCCAGACCACTGCTGGCAATCTATAAAGAGCTAAGATGGTTGAGCTAGAGCCTACTTCATGGCAGTAAGGGCC